TAACCTGGGCTTTTGGTGAACACTTGAGCATTTCAGCTAACAATCAAGCTGAGTGTATTTTAAGAGCTTTTCAGAATCTCATAATACAAAAGAGGAAGAAAATCAACTAATCCATGCGCCGTAATGCCCAAGTGAGCTCCATATGGAGGACTGAACTGGGGGTAATTTTTAAGGAGCTGATGTGTGGGAACCCACTCCCCCATTTAAAGCTGTTTGTTGTGTTCCTGAATTGTTGTAAATACCATTTTCACCGACTTCTTTTCCTCCGAACTTTCTAAATTAATTATCTTTAGACTGGGGATTATTATTTGTCAATCAGATCAACCATTCCATCAAAATGAAACAAAAAACCCTCGATTTTCCTCTTAACTCCTTCACTCTGTCATTTTTGCTGGGGAATACATAAAAACATTAATTTCGTGTGGGAAAAGTCTCCACTTGCAACGTGCTCCTGAGAGAAAAAGGAAAATGCAAAGTGCCTAGAGAGGATTGTACTAAAAGACAGCTCTGGCAGAAACCATGGCAACCCGGGTGGTGGAGGAGAAGCTGCATCCTTCTGCCTGTTAATCCCTTCAGGGTGCCTTGATTTGGGGTTTCAGGGACAGATTGGGTCAGACTGGATGCAGAAAAGAAGAGGTCAGTAGATGGCTTCAACCACAGAGCCACCAGTACCTCTCCCTGGTTAATTTTTTGGTGGTGTCCCTGAGGATTAAGATTTATTTTTTTTCCTACAAAATTCCATGAGCAGGAGCTGCCTGGTAAAGCCTTGGCGCACTGAAGAGAGTATTTATTTATGGCAGAGAATTGATTCCTCATGCAGGATTTCCAAGCTTGGGTTTCACAGCTGCATCAGCCCAGTGGTGCCAGCGCTGAACAAGGCACCATCCCCCTGATTCTGATACTCAAAGCCTGCTGGGTATCTCCACCACCTGAGCATTCAGCTCTTCTGGAAACCCAGACACAGATTTTTTTGGGGTTTCAGAACAACATCTTATTTGTAGGATCCATGAGAGCAGCTTGGCACCTCCAGGCAGTGAAAATGGACAGTAGGTAGCAGGATATTCCTGAAGTTCTCCACCTGGAGAGACCCTCCTCCACCGATGTGTCGGTGGTTCCCGTCCTCGCCGCTCTCGCTCTTCTTATGGAAGGTAAAATAGGAGCTGCTGTGCCCATCAGACGGTAAATCCAGAGCAAGTGCAAGGAGCCAGAAGCAGAGCAGAGCCTTTGCCGTGTAAAGAAACAGCAAACAGGAGCAAACCTACTCCGAAGGCATCACCTCTGCAGCTTCCCATCTCCTCCCGAGTCCCAGCCTGGCACAGGCCACCTCCCCAGGGCAGCGTGTCCATACCCAGGTGGCCCTGGAGCCCAGGGACAGTCCTCCAGGCAGCAGAGGGGAACAGGTATGGGGTTCAGCTCATCCCAGCCAACAGCTAAACCAGGCTGGATGAACTTCTTTGAGGATTAAAGGAGACCGGAGCGCTCACCTGAGGAACAGACGTGGGGATGGCAAACACCCAAAATCAGGTGAGGCCTGGCTTCACCGAGCCAGGGGTGAAGCACCTGAGGGGAAAGGTCTAAAATGCTTCATTTTGCTACAATCCCATGGATGCTGGGACATGCCCAAGCAGCACCAAGAGCCTGTTTCCTCAGCCACAAGCACCAGCACACACAACGTTGGGTGGTCCACTGCCACCCTGAGATGCAAAAGCCCAAACTGAGTCGCTCATATACAGGCAACAGCACTGAGAGATTCTTCCTGGAGTATCTTTTTCCTTCCTCAGCATTCCTGTGCAAGAAACAAAAGCTCTGAATCTACCTCAAACCCCTGTGTGCTGGGTAGAAGAGCAGGCTGGAGAGATTCATCTCCTCCAGCTTTATCTGTCAAAACTGGAGACATCTCCTGGGGAGCCCATCACCCCGAGATCCCTCATAAATCAGCTGGAGATGCTTCCCAGGCATTCCTGCTCTGACCTACTGCAGCCTGTTAGCTCAGGATGAAATGAATCACTCTAATTTCTCTCCTCTGACTATAAAGCACGTCTAGACAAGTAACTCAGATGTTGATACTTAAATCCGGATAAAGTAATTTCACTTTTGGGGTCCATATCCGACTGCAGCTCTCCTACTGCCTTGCCAGGGCAGACCACTTCGCTTCTGTCTCTCTCACAGTCCCTTCAGCAGCAGTACAGGGATAAAACATTTTATTAGTGTTGTAAAAGCATGGAAAAAAAATTGCATGGAAGTTTCTGATGAAATCCGCACAGCAGCACAACATCAGAGAGGAATTTAGGTTAAGAAACACGAGTGTTAAGAGGGGAACGTGCAATAAGAACCATTTTCATGGTGCACCAGTCACAAAGGATTGGGTCTTTTTCCTAAAATGTTTTTATGTTATTTGTCAAGGAAGCTGTTTGGTTCACAGTGCTGCCCTGACAGGCCGGGGAGGTCGTTACTGCAATGCTGGTTAAATGCTCTGACAAAGCCTCCGTGGTGTCCTGTGTTGAACAACAAAGAGGGCTGAGGGGGGTTGGCAGAGAGAACTCCCCTTCAGAGCCAATTAGCCTGTGCTTTGGACAATAAAGGCACGGTGAGGGTTCAAAGAAGAGGGTCAACCAAAAACCCAGAGGACGGAGATCTGCTGTTTATCTTAAAAGCGTGGAAAAATGGGATAATTCCTGTGCATTGTGTTCCTCCTCCCCCCTCCCCTCTTTTCCAGCTTCTGACAACACGTGAACTCGCTCTCACTGATGAAACCAGGAAGATTATCCCAGCTGCAGTTCCAGGGACACGAGGCCCATTATCCCAATTTCCTTCGTAATGGCCTCACACCTGGACACTCTGTCAGGGTCAGTCAATTAAAAGCAGCTTCACAAACCCACATTTCACTTCACAGCTCTTCTCGTGGGGGGAAAAAAACCCATCAGCTCAGCAACCTGACTCTTCATGTGTTGACAGGGCAAGGTCAAACAGCTCCACGTCGACGGCGCCGAACGACCAAACCCCGGGAGTGCTCCGGACGGTTGTCATGTCATCTCAATTCCCAGGGAATCAAGCTGGCTGTGAACAAACCAGACACAGGCAAATTTTCACAGGCTACTGCTGTGAGCTCTGTCAGTGGCCAGCTCCTCTTCTCTCCGGAGAAACGAAAGGAAAAAAATCATTACTTGATCGTCGCTCAGGGTTTCCCGTGCTCCGAGCTCAGCATCTCAGGATCAGCTGGGCAGAAGGATTTTGAGGAGCGCTGTGGCTGAATCTCAGGGGTCCCTCTCTATTAATCACTGAATTGTCTCCTGTTTCATTAGCCACCATCAGAGCACAATCCAATTAGCACACGTTTTACATCACAGATATTTATTAAGCCTTCATTACACACGGGCTCGTGCTCAGGGCGGCGGGAGCCTGTTGATGTGCTGGAACTTCTTTCTGCCAGTGGGAAGGGAGGCAACTTGGGTCAGCTCTGCAGGGATTCCCTCCTTGCACAGAGAGCGAGTGGCCCCCATAAGCTTTAAAGTCACCATTAATTTCTCAGGGTAATGGCACATATAGGATGAAAAGTAATGCCTTAAAGTCCCCAGAATGGTCCTGAGGGCAGCGTGACGTGTTCTCGATGTTCAGGAAAGGCAGCACCAAACTGGAACGCTGAGCAGAAATTCATCTGGTGGCTTGTCGAGTGAAAACAGGCAGATTTATGCCTTTGTGCTAAAAATCACACGTGGTTGCATACTTGGTATCAGTGCAAAACCACCTCTGCTGAGCAGAGAACTATCTGGTGACTTGTTGAGTGAACAGGGGTGGATTTGCGCCTTCCCAATCAATAAAATCACACCTGGTTGGATGCTGGGTTTCAGTGCAAAACCACCCAAAATCCCGCACATTTGAGTTCCCTTCTGAGTCTGGTATTCTCAGAGTGCCCTTTCCCACTGCTGTGAGGATGAAGAGAACTCCTGGACCCAGAGAACCACAGCCCCCACGTTACCCAGCCGTGCCCACCCACAGCACCCAACAGTTGCCAGGCTGTCCCCTCGCCCAGCTGGCAACAAGCTCCTCCAGCCAGGCCAGACAACAGCAGCAGCACCAGGTGGGAGTGACTGGGAGGCAGAAAGCTCTCAGCTCCACGGGTGTAAGAACTGCACAGACACTTGCAAACCGGGTGGAACAGCATCGCGTGGTGACAAGCACTCAATGGCTCCAAGGAAGGATATCAAATAACTCACTGACTGATCTAAAGGCACCTGCTGCTGTGAGATGCTTTAAAAACAGGGCTCACTTGACAGGAATATTGTCAGAACCTACTAAAACCATGAAGATGCCCATTGGGAGGAGCTATTTGGTGTTTTTCAGCTGCAGCCTGTTTACCTCAAAATTTGAAGAGATAAATTACTCTGACACCACCAAGAGCCACAGCTGCTTTGATCAGCCAGGTGCTACCCAGCTCCAGCAGATCCCATCGGATTGTCTTCAAGAGGGACCGTCAGGTCTGGGAGAGGCACTGACACAGCCTTGAATCCCAGTGTTTCCCTGATTTTTATAATCACATTTTAAGAAATGGGCGGACAGAACAGAGCAAAGCTTGTGGGGATAAAGTTACAGTCAGAGTCTGTTTCCACTCTTCAGCAGAAACAAAGATAGCGTTGTTAATAACCATCATTGGGTTTAGAGAACATAAATCCAACTGTGATTAAATTCTGTTCCCTGTGAGCTAAGCCAGGGACTCAGCTGCTGTCAGGACAGAGATTACAGATGCATTTACAGGCCAAAATCACTACAGCCCAATTCTGCCCCTTATTTTGTTTTCAAATAGACATTTAGTAGGACTACGAGGAACACAACTTGAAAAAGAAGGCAACTGCAAAAGACATGTCCACACACTCATCTTTCACCTCCTTATCCCCCACTTTACGTAGTTTTGATGCGCAACCTCGTGAAATGAAACAATTCAGGTGACAGTGTTAGATGAAGAACCTGAGAGTAAGCTCTGACTTCTCAGAGCATTTGCTTACCTAGGATCACAAAGAAACTTGGTCTTTTCACCTTCTTCTCTCCAAATGAGCCATTCTCGGAAAGAGGGATGAACAAACATTCGCGTCATATCTCTACGTTTGATAAGAAACATAGAAAGGTTCTCCATCCTCTGCTGAAAGTCCTCCCACTCCAAAGTGCCCTCAACGTTACCTGCATTAATGGCCTGAAAAATATGTTCGTCTGTTAATGGGTGCAGAGAAGCCACTGCCACATTCAAGAGGGGCATGACCCGGTCAAAGGAAGACTGTGTTGGGAACTTCATATTGCACTGCAGCAGGTACACCTCGGACAGGGACACGGGCACCACCTTGTAGCTGGAGCTTTTGAGCACCAGGTATCCCTTCTCTATGAGATCAAAAGTGAGTTTCAGGTACAGGTAGGACCCCTGGCTCAAGGTCTTGAGGTGAGAGCTGAGCTTGCCGAACGTGGTGTTGTCCATTTTGCCGTTGAGCGAGATGTTGTTCTGGATCTCCGAGCTGCTGTGGATCCGGTGGAGGATGTAAGCCTGCAGGTCCTGGTCGATGGCTTCGTTCTCTTCCAGTCTATCCAAAAATATTCTGTGGAAGGGCAACAGCTTAATTATTTCCTACAAAGAAAGAAAAGAAAAAAAAAAAAAGACGCTCATGCTGGGTTTCTTATTCATTAAAGCACATTTAATTTCTATTACAATGGCACCTCTGAGACTCCTTTAAGGCCTTCCATCAGGGCAAGCACACGAATTGGAGTTTGTGCCCTCAGGACCTCAGCCTCATCTATAATCCAGTAGGTTGTGTGTGCAACATGACTGAAATAAATAATGAAGGATTTTTCCTAACACTGATGATGCTTCTCCAAAGAAACCAAAGATCACCCAAGGCCTTTCCAAAGCCCCTCACGGGCTTTCAGCCACTGTGAGGAGAACAGACCTGGAGAAGCCAAGGCAGACCCTGAAGAAGACATCAGCTCTCCAAGAAAATAAACAGGGAGAGCACAGTGCGAGGAAAAGCAGCAGTGAAGAACACAGGGCTGCAAAAAACCCCTAATTAAATGAGGGATTCAAGCCAGCAGGATGCAATTTGCTTCCAATTACAAAAAAAAAAGGTTTCTTTCAAATGATATTTAATCTGCATTATTGAGCAGAAAAACCAGACTCCAGCACTGTACAGCAGATATCCTGTGCTCTCCTGGATCTTGGGGAGCAGATAGTCCAGCAGAGAGATCTGTGCTCTCCTGGATCTTGGGGAAGCAGCTGCCATTCCCAGTGACAAGGACAGTGTGCAGGGTCTGGTTGTCCTGCTGGGGCTGGAACCAGACTCAGCTCCCTGCCAGGAGGGCCACAGTGAATCAACCTGTGGATCTCAGCAAATATTAGCAAACCTCAGGAAAACTGCTTAATGGAGCTCGCTAAAAATGAACTCCACAGCTCTGTGCTAATGAAGAAACGGCTAATAATGAAAAAATGAGAACCAGAGAGCTGCAGACAGGCCTTTCTGCCTGGAGCAGCCGGGCCAGCTGCAGAGCAGCTCCGAGCTGGATCCCAAATGTGTGTCCCATCCTCCTCCGGGCTCCTGGCTCGGTTGCTCAGTGGGAATGTTCCCATCCACGATGGTGCAAATCAAGCAGCCCTGCTGAGAAACCTGGAAAGAACAGATCTGCCCCAGCTGGGTCACTGGGTTTGCTTCCCAACCTCCTCTACTCAGATGAGCAGTTGAGCCAACAAAGTTCAGCTTGATCCTTCTTCCAGGAGAGTCACGATGAACAGGCTGAAGGTAAAAACCTGCCCAACTGCAAACTAAAATAAACCCACTTAAGAATAACCCAAACAACACTCAGCTCAGAGATTCAGCACCTGCTCACCAGTCCTTTTGAGCTGAAGAATGTCTTGGCCTGACAGTGAGTCCTCCAGACTGAAATGATCACACTTAGGGTATGAAATCTGAATTCCTCTGCTCTTCCACATGGAGCAGAGGATGCTCTCAAGCTGCACAATCTGACAGACATCAGGCCCTGCCCTCCTAATGGTTCAGTGAGTTAAGAGCCTGTTGGCATGTGAGCTGTGTCACAAAATGATCTCAAACCATTTGCTGATGAACAGTTACTGACATGAAAAGGCAACGCTGGATTAGATCCATCCAAAGCTGCAGAGTGAGTTTGGGGACGTGGATGTAAGTCCAAAAATTAAAAAGCCAAAAGGATAATATGAAATCAAGGGTCTTGAGCAAATCCAGACATCCATCTTTATCTAAGCCCATCATGACAATGACACAGTTTATCACTATTTTGGGTCTCACAGTACCTGTAGACTCGTCCTGACTGTCACTACCAGCTTCAGCCAGGAAGGAAATTTTCCAATCATTTTGCTCAGGAATGATACTATGGTGTCTCCATAATCTGGCTTGTGAAATTCAGCCTCGTTTAAACCATCAATTAGTATAATGAAATCTTCATCAGGGATCTTCCTCTCTGAAAGAAAGAAAAAAAAAATCATTTACTGGAAAGGCTACAGACACACACGACCATAATGTACTGCAAAGTCACCACAGTGTTTTAAAGCATCATCAGATATTGCTGAAGAAGGAACAAAATCACAACAGCAGCACTTTTTTTCACAATACATTAATTGCATATTGCAAGGGACCTTTCCAGGTCATCTTGTTCCACCCCACCTTCCATCAGAACAGGTCCAAAATGGCCATGAAAAATCCTACAAAAAGCAAATCAGGGACTTATTAAACAGAGGTTTTTGGCTGCTGGAGAATACAAGTAACCCAGGTGGTGCAAACAGTGCAGTCAGTGTTTCTACGTTCTCCTATATATTATTTAGCTTCCTTGTCATTAAAAATATATATATTTTATATATATATATATTTGAGAAATGTGAATCTAACTTTCTCAGTGACGCTCACCATTAACAGCTGCGCAATAATTTCGTCCCAGTAGCATTAAAGTCTCAACAGCACCTTGTAAAAGACCTGCTGATGTATTTACAGAGTCTTAAATGTTATATATCTTAGAACCAATTTCCAGACACCGTTCATCTTGTTAGATGACACTTGGTGCAAATGAACTTGCCAGCACTCCGGACCAGCAAGGTTGAAAGATGGGAGTCCTGGTCCACTGGAGCTGTGTTGAGTGCAGAGCCCAAGAGGAAAGAAAATAAGGTTTTATGTAACATTTTTCAGAATTTAGGACCAGTTGGGGGTCAACTTGCCTGGCAAAAAAAAAAAAAAAAAAAAAGCATCCTCTGCAAAGCTCTGAATTCAAGGGCTGGAATTCAAGTACCTCCCAGGGAGCTGCTGTAACAACCAGGAATTATTTTCCTCTAGAGCAGAGGCTCCTAAATGTATCTTTTTTTTTTTTCTTTGTTCTTTTTGCCAGGAGTGTTGGTAGGAAAGAGCCAGCCACGCTCCTCCCACAGTGACATTTCCCCATGCCAGGAAAACCAAGAGCTGTCGCGCTGCGAGGGCTCCGTGTGTGCCTTGTGCCTGCTGGAACCAGGTGGGTTAGACCCAGCTGCTGCTGCTCAGAGCAGGTGGAACACAGCTTTGAGGAGCTGATCTGAACATCAGGGCTTTGAATCTGGTAGGAAGCTGCCACCTATTCCGCGATGGATCCTCCACTGCGGAGTGGAGGGTGGTAAAACAAAATCATCAGAAGTATTTTTTTTTTGGCGGCCGAGATGCAGCACAGCCACGGTGATAAACAGCATTCTGCAGGACAACAGAGTCCTGAACCCTGCAATGCTCTGACAGTCTTCATGGCAACCAGCAAAGATCTTAAATTTAGCAATTGTCACAATGAATTACTTATAACTTGCGGAGGGAAGAAAGGAAAGAAGACAAAATCAATGCCGCGTTAGAAAAAGCTCTGTAATCAGGATAAGGCTTGTCAGCAGTCCCCCCCAGAAGCTTTACACAGGGTGTCTATCGACTTTTATGGCATCAGTCCTTTGGTGAAAGCTTCAAATTCTCTGAAGCCCACTGAAGAGTGGCAGGGAAAGGGAAAAAAGCCAGCCCTGCACAACTAAATCAGAACACGTTGCTGTAACCACTGCTGTGCGTGGAAATTGTCGCTCGTTTTCACCTTCAGAACTGTGAGGGCACCTTTGGGATATGGAAGGAGGCAAGAAAAGGGAAAGGCAAGTGTTTCTTCTACAGCCCTGCACAGGAGGAGAAGAGGGGTGCTTAACCATTGGCTTCCCAACAAGCACAATCAGAGAAGCACCCAGAAGGAATGGGTCAGGTTGGAAGGGACCGCTGGGCTCTGGGGTGGCCTCGTAGCAGCCTTAAAGTACCTAAGAGAGCTGGGAGAGAGACTTGGGACAAGGGCCTGGAGGGACAGAGAAGGGGAAATGGGCAGGGTTAGATGGGATATTGAGAAGAAATCCTTCCCGGTGAGGGTGGCACAGGTTGCCCAGAGAAGCTGTGGCTGCCCCTGGATCCCTGGAAGTGTCCAAGGCCAGGCTGGACAGGGCTTGGAGCAACCTGGGCTGGTGGAAGGTGTCCCTGCCCACGGCAGGGGGTTGTGCAACGAGGTGGTCTCGTTAACATTCCTTCCAACCAAAAACTCCACGGTCCTCCAGATCCCACCTGGGATGAACCCACCGCCCAGACGCGACTTCAAAACAACAACAACAACAACAAAACCCAAACAGGCGTGGGTGGGATCTCAGGGCAACCCCGCGCCGGTACCTTTGTGCAGGTTCTCCAGGGGCTCCAGGACGCCCCTACGGAAGGAGGCCATGGGGTCCTGGACGCAGGAGCGCAGGCTGAGCAGGCTCTGCAGGTGGGGCTCGCGCAGCAGCTGCTCCCGGTAGGCCACGAACTGCGGGGAGCGGCACAGCAGGGCGGCCACGTTGTGCACGAACTCGGGCACCAGGCAGGTGTAGGCGTTGTCGGCCTGGCAGTAGTGATAGGCCACGACCTGCGGCGAGAAAAGAACGAAAAAGAAATTAAAAAAAAATAATAAAAGGTGTCTTGGCCGGAGCCGCCACAGCAGCGCTTCCCCCCTCGGCGAGCCTGATGCGCCCTGGCAGGTGGAGTCTTTAGGAGCGGCGAGTGTTAACCACCCGTGACAAGAATCCAGACAGAGTCAGTTAGGGGGGGAAAAAAAACAAACAGGCGCTGATTCTGAGAAATGACCGGGCCTGCCACTCGGGGAGTAAATGAAATTAAGCTGTAGCTGCTCGCGGAGATGGACAGTGACAGTAGTTGACATCCCCGAAGTGCCTGGATTGTGCTCCAAGCTCTGTTTAAGGACTTGGTGCCGCTAATAACTTGTGATTGTTTTCCTGAACTTATTTTTTATGTGCTGGTTTTTTTTTTTCCTCTCATGTCAAGCTCTGTGCAAGCAGCAGGGAGCACTCACTGAGTCCATCACAGCGAGGCAGTGCCTGGGAACGACAGATTCCCGTGATCTGGGGGTGGTGGGGGGAATGGCAGGCTCACTGTACATTACTCATCCACTGTGAACCTGGTCTTCCATTCAAAAAAATCAGTTCAGTTCAATTAAAAAAAAGGAAAATCTCCTCTTTTCCCAGCTTTCCCCTGATTTTTCCAGCTCAGCAAACTCTGCTAGAACCCGCTACATTCTGCCCACTTATTAAAAAAAGCAGCAAACCAGCGATACCGTCTCAGGGGCCAAGCTGCCAACTTGCCTGTTTTCTTTTGCAATGTAAAAAAGGCCCTCAAAAAATCCCTCTCTGCTTGTAAATCCCTGGGGAAGCTGCTCTGGCACCGCTCCAGCTCCTCCTGCTCCCTGGCTGGCTCCAGCCTCGAGCGCATCCCGTTTGGGACGAGGCTCTGCCAGGGCACAAAGCTTTTCTCCAGCTCCCATTCGCTCGGTTTTCCTTTCAAATGTCACCCACTATCCAAAAATATCCCGGATAGGCAGGTGGGAGCAGTTCTGTACTGAAAGCACCACTGCCCTGGAGCACAGTTAGCGCAGAATATTGCCAAATAAACGGCATTTTTGAACTTGGGAAGGACATTATGGCTGAGGACGCCGCGCACAGGAGGTGCTGTGGCCTCTCTGGAGCTCCTGGGAGCTCAGATGGAACGTGCCCGAGGCTTTGGACACGATGAAGGTTTTCTGGCTCTCCACCTGCAATACCCAGCCCTTGGGCCTCAGCAAGCTCCAGGGTGGCCAAGGATGGTACCAAGGAGTGAAAACATCAGGCTGTGGGGTCCTCACCCACTGCTGGCTCAGCACCTGGCTTTTCATTTTCAATATGAAATTACCACCAGTAATTTCCTTTCCCAGTCAAAACGAGGTGTGACACGTGGAGAGATGAGAAAGCTGGGCTGTTATTTCAAGCATCAAGCCCTAATACATGTGTTTAAGCTTTAATGGATACCTCCAAATTCCTCACTGAATTCTTCCTACCAGCCAGTTAAAATATAATTAATTCCCTTAGAGAACAGCACTGGGTAAAGTAATAATAAAGGTAGTGATTTCTTTTCAACAATCCTATTTATTTGGGGATTATAACTTGTGAATTTCACAGAATAAAGATCTTTTAACAGCCATTCCTTGATATCAGGTTCCAGTAACAGAAATCAAATTAGTCTGATTTCCTACACAATTGGTGTATAGACACAAAAATAAAGTCTGTTTTAATGAGAAGCCAATTAACTTCCTCCAGGAATTTGAAGAGTCCTGCCATGGAAAAAGGGACACAGGAAAACTTATGAAGGGAATGGTCCCCACCTGATTTTGGGACACACATACAGTGACAACCCAATCAATTTAATGCTCTTCATGTAAATTATGGTTGAATTTGACGATCTTAGAGGCCTTTTCCAATCTTAGCAATTCCATGATTCCTTATCCTTGTGCTGGTTTTACTGAGCCTTAACCAGCAGGATAAATGCAAGGCTTGAGGGGTGGATCTGAAGCTAAACCAGTAAACAAGGAAGATTTTGGGAAAGCCACCAAAGGAAAGGCATTATGACGTTCTCAGAAACACATCTTGCGCCAGAACTTCATCTTGATGTTATTTATTCTCCGTGACATTTTCTTTATCTTCAAATCACACACGAGAGGCTGCCAAAAGCCGGTGCTGCAAGTGGAGCCTGGCACTGGAAATCAGGATGGGAATTGGCCTCCTCACTTACACAGAGCTGGGTGGGAAACACTTTTCTCACCCTGTAAAACTTTCCAAGGTCTCAAACTCTGTTCCACCCTTGGGAATGAGAGGGGGGGTTGATGGGAGAAGGGAATGGAAGAGCCTCCAGGATGGAGGTTGGTGTTGATGCGGCTCACCCTGAACCGCTTCAAACCCTGTTCCTTCTCCCCTGTACTTGGTGAATTCCTTTAATACTCCCACTAATGCTCCGGGGAAGGTCCCTTTCCAATTATTTCACCTTTTTAACTATTTAATTATTAACTTTATTAATTGTTCTGGGTTCCAGGAAGAGGGATGGACGCATTACCAACTCCACTGCTTAGGATTCTCTTCTAAGATATGGGAGACCACATCCAGACCTCGCTCAGCATCTGAAACAACCACTCTCTGTGCTAATCTTGCTTCTGGGGTGGTTTTGGTCTCTCCTCCTTTTGCTTGACTGAGTAAGCCAAAAATTACATCCAAGGAACAACAACAACAAAAAAAAAAGAATTTGCATAGCCTGGAAAGGAACTTTTCATTGGAAAAGATGTGCTCTCTTCAATAAAAGTTTCACTTCCAACAGATCTAATAACTTTGCCTTAAATAACTCCTTGAACAAGTTCCAACCATCCCTTATCATAAACAAAATCCTTGAATTAAACATGTAATTTTATTTAGAAACTGTATTACAATAAATGAAATCACCAGGGAACAGCATGTTGGTTCCAAAGGTATGGATGCTGTGATCAGCAAACATTTATTTGTGCCTGATACAATTTAAGATGTAATTTTTCTAACCATAGTTTCAATTTGGTCTTTGTCATCCCACTGCACTAAGCACTACAAACACTAAATTAAGACTTTCAGAACTTTTAAACCTTTATTTCAGCTATCAGGTTTGTCAAAGGATGTTTACAAAGCTGGAAGCTGAAAAATTCCTTGCTCTAAAGTTTAATTAAATTTAAATCACTGGATTGTGAACATTAAGTAAGCAAGGGCCTATAAGCAACCCCACAGCAAGAAGTGGATTACAAAGGATGGGAAAGTAACACCTAGATCAAGAGGAGCGTTCAAAGTACCTGTTCATGTCATTTTTAAGGGCTGAGAACGCAGTTTTGACAAGCTGAGTGACTCCGTGCTGAGAAACCAAGGTGTTATGGTTCCTACATTAAATATCAAATGCCCAAAGTTACAAACTTGTATCAGTTCCTTTCTTGCTTGAAAAGGACCTGCAAAATAATTCAAACTTGTATGATGAGTATTTTACTTGCAGTGATCACCTCCTCCCCTAAACTGATGTGGAGAGTGCAGCTGGCTGCACACCAAAGCAGCACATTTATCATGGGTTTTTTTGGTAGCTGTTTTTTTTTTTAAACATTAATTATGTGTTACAAGGCTTGAGAAACACCAGACAGGGGGATGGCAGAGCACTGCCTCAGACAGACCATGGCCAACGCGACCCCATCCCCTCCTGAAGTGGGGTCAGGGAGCCCCAAAACATCCAATTACTCAGAAATGGCACATACTTCATTTTCTTGACGGCCAAAGCAGAATTATTAAGACATTATTTATATTCCCTCCAGGTGTTAAGCCCAGGATTGTCTTCTCCCAACCCTTTCAACACCAGCCATCCTTTCTGCCACAACCATTTCCCATCTCTCCTTTCATCCAGCCTCATGTAATCTTCACCTTCCTGCTGACCCCACCCTTCCTGCCCTCGTTCCATTCAGGTTCACTCCTTCCCCCCACCCTTTTCCTGGATTCAGGACTTGGTCCCAGTGTCCCATCCTGACACACAGATGCCCTGTACACCTTCCTGCAGCTCTTCTCCCCACACCAAGATCCTTTTCTGACCCACGGTCAGAGCTCCGAGGCCAAGCTCCTGATTCCACCTGGCTGGGGCTCAGCTGGACAGAGGTGGAAGCATTCCATGAACTTGGACAGAAAAGGGAAACATCCTCACATAGGTCAGGACTCAGGGAAACAGTTGCTGGAAGAAGGGTGGTAAAAGCAAAACAGCTATTCCAAGGATAATGGAAAATGCTGGTGGGAAGAGGAGGAAGAAGAGCTGCATGAACACAGCAGGAGGAAGAGGTTGGAGAGGTTGGCAAAGGAGAGGGGGAAAAAAACGAGGCACAAAAGAGAATGTGTACAAGCTACGAAGTACAGAGGGTGAGAAGGGAGTGAACTGTGAAGAAGGAAAAATAAAAAAGAGAGAAGGAGAGGAAATGGCATGGCAGAGAGGCAGGAGATGACAGTAAGAGGGGAAAGGCTGAAGGACAGCGGGAACATCAAAGGGGCTGGAGATGGCTCAAGGGAAATAAGTTATTTTTGATTATTTAGGACAGGCCAATTTTAAGCAGTTCCCCAGCACTATTTGTGAAAAAGAATCTCCTCCATTTAGGCAGCATTCCTTTGCCATCACACCTCTGCCATGGTTTGTCTTGGCTTCCTTCTGTAAGTGTAGTGCAAGGAGTCTGTTCTACCAGCCCCCCTTGGCACAACCTCAGACCCCTGAGCTCACAGCAATAACCCCTCCCTCCAGGGCTCTTGAAGGGCTCCAACGCTGCATTTTAACCGTATTTCTGCACCTGACAAGATTTATCTTCTCTTGACCCACACAAAAGAGCTTCAAATAACTGCAGTGAACGCTCTGACCTGACACAACGCCACGTGCCGGGCCCAGCCCTGGCTGTGATAATGGGAATGGCCACCAGCAATGCTGTTATTTTATCCACTGCACATGACTGTGACCCCAGTATGTGGCACAGGGCGACCCAGTTTACTGGGAACGCTCATTACTTTTACACAGCTG